TTTTTTCATGAAAGTTTCGAATCTTACTCGGACATCCATTAAATAATTTCTTTTATGAAGAACGGGCACGTCTTTTCCATGATGAAGTATAGTAAAGATGGCTTTCTTTTCCATCGTTTGGATAAAAAACAAAGTATTGGATATAATAAAAACAAATCTTAAGTCTTAAAAGCTAGAATCACTTTTCCGGTTTTATAGTCTTGAAGGCTTGTCATATTCAAGAACAGTCGTGTCTTCCAGTCTCATTGAAATTGGTTGGAAACGTTACAGAAGGACAAACACACTGTTTTGAGATTACGATTGGAAATAAAAGACACTCCTGACCTACGAATACGAGCTGCATATGCACAACTTAGTACTACTCATGTGTAGCACGACAAAAGCCTGCAAGTTGGAGGTTAAAACTCTAAGTGATCATGGTATGAAGTTTGAAGGACGGCTTTCAATTTGAGAAATGATAGTTATTCATGCAAATTAAACAAATGCCACTAAAACCAAGCTGCGTACGTCTTTGACGGGCTGCACACCCAAGACAAACGGATGCCAAACTCAATTAACCCCTTCGCAAAGCCGAAAAAAGGCCATTTAACCAAAACAAACCTTGTTAATCCTTCGTAAGAGGGAGAAGAACAATAGAATTGAAGGCATTTTTAAACAACTCGAGAAACTACATTTAGAGGATTTAGCAAACGATGTTAAGTTTATGTGCGCTGTCATGTTATGTCAACTGTCACTGATTAACACTCTTAGCCTTACTTTAGTGCAAATCCAAGTAGAGAAGTGCTTTAGATAAAATCAGTGGTTCTTGCACCACTTCAAGCCCCCCAAAAAGCGCATTTCATAATAGTTTTTTTATTAACTCGAAGACGGGAGAAAATATCTCAAAACTTGTTAAAAGGAATGGAGGATGACACCTTAAAGAAAGAGGATTTTTATCAAGATTCCGGATTGGGATTTTTGATAAATTCCGATGATTTTGATGAAGTTGAAACGAGAGAGCAAAGCTTTGAACAATTCCTCTCAAAGACGTCGACAATCAAAAATGACGCCCTATCTGAAGAGATTTTCAACCATGAGGAAAGCCGTGGTATAGGATTGCAATATTTACCAAATACAAAACAGCAATTTTTTCAGTGTGGGTTTTGTGGCAAGGGATTTCAAAGGAAATACACTTTAAATAGGCATCTACGATCGCATTTGCCAAATCCTGTGCGATACGAATGCAAGGTCTGTGGACGAGCTTACATGCATCGCTATCATCTGAAACGACACTTCAACGCACATTGTGGAAAGGTTGGTATCGCGAGTTACTTTGCGAGATATATATATTTAATTATCATATCGACAGCATAGGGTGTACGGTGAGTTATAGTGAGGTACAGTGAGGTATATTTAATTATGGTGGGTCATGTAAGTTAGTTTAGTCAGGAGGTGTTCCTAGGGGAAGTAGAGTGAGTCATAGTTATAGTGAGGTGTATATATAGCGATGTACAGTAAGTTATATGTATTGTGAGTTATAGTAAAGCGAAGCAGAATAGTGAACCGTGTAGTTTATGGAAACATACAGCAATATAAAAAATCCCACATTGCATTGCACATCATCAGTCGAAAACATGCATATTATTAAATTTATTTCAGTAGCTAAATAGTCATACCAGCTAGTTGGATCAGTTTGGTTTTCTAATCTTGATCATTCCGTGGTGTTGACATCAATTTATAAAAATATTAGTTTATATACTTCTGAGATCACGATAATCTGTCAACGGTCCCAGCAATGAGCATGAGGCACACCACATTAAAGTCACCTACGCAACTCCAATCCCAAGCTTTGAAAACTAAGATTAAATCATAATAGTTAATTGTATTACGACTTTCGCATTTGCTTAAAAAGGCCAATAGCATTAGATTTGGCTTCCAGTGTTAAACTTTTTTTAATTTAAAATCTATCTACAAGGCTAGAAAAAGGGACAAAATAAATGAGTTAGCTTTGATGGTTTTGGTATGAATTAATTTCCCTGATTTTTTGTCAAAAAGTTTTTTATTTCCTTTGTCATTTTTACTCTTTATATATTCAAGCGTCGACTAAGTGTGAATGTGCTGAAACAGCACCATACTTCAATGAAGCTAGACACAGAGTTTTTATAAAGTATCCTATTTCCTGTGAAGCCGATTACCCGCAAACCGGCAGGTCGTATAAGATAGAGCGGTACATATACTAGTCGAATGCAAATTTGACCGTCTGTCTCTCTGCGCATTCAATTAACATCAGCCTGTCATTTCCGCTGGAGAACTTTCACTGGAAAGATTGCAAGTCTGTACCAGGATTAGAGAATAAATTCACAATGCCTAGAGTTAAATCCCAGAGAAAAAAGAAGAGAGAAAGAGCAAAGGCAGCCGCGGCAAAGAAGTGGGAAAAACAGGACAAATCGAAAGAAAGCGATAAGGTCAGTAATAATGACAAAGAATGGCTCTCCTGAGTTTCTGAAAGTGAAAGAAAGCTACCATGCTCGGGAAACTGAAGTGTTTGACAACCAAAGATCAACTCAAAACTACAACATCGATTCTTACTTTGACAAACGCTGAACGGTCCAAAATCAAATTATAGAGAGCAAACTTTAGATTGTAGCATCCTAGAGTCTCTAGCCTTCGTAGACTATTCGATAGAGATATTTTCGTTTGAGGCCCAGTACTATTACGAACAACCACTCTGGCAGGAAATTATAAGGGAACCGGTTTGTTTTTATTATGATAGTCTCACTGATCCGAGTTGATCCACTGACTTTGTCGGTAAATATGCTAGCATTATTTCTTGTGGAAATAAAGTTAAGAGGTCTCTATCTTTTTAAACCTGTTTTAAAAAGTATTTTTCACAGCGGCTACATGCGGCTCCGCGTATAGATGTAGCTTTCGACCCGACTGAGTGATCCGGTGAATTGAAATACACGGAGTTTAAAATTTCTAAAAGCAATTCTAAAGTTTTCTGGTTGAGGAACAATGTCCTTTGAATCCTTACTTCCTTTATCAGTGTTTCATAAGAAATATAAGAAAAAAATAACAATATTTTTTCGTAAATTTTAGAACTGTGCCAAAAAATTACTGTGCACTGACAGTGTCTGTGGTCTTGACCAATGACTGGCAAATGCGACCAACATCTCAGTCACACTTCGGTTATTTTAACAAAGGCGCTGTTGAATTTTTCATAATATTTTCATACAGCTTTACTGATCAACTTTTATCACAAATGTTTCTAGTTTTATTCGCCTCAACAATAATACATTATTATGATATTAAATGTTCGGATGCAGTTTAACTGTATCAGTGAATATATATACTGGTAACAAACTCGTGAAGCGCGCAACCGGATGAAATAGCTTATGTTTTTGGTATAAATTGCTGAAAACATAAACATATCTAAAACACAATCATAATTTATAAAGGCAACCCTAAAATAGTTAAACAATACTCTTAAAAAAGAGGAAGAGTTACGTAGAACAAAAAGATCACTCGAGCATCCCAACGAAACTTCATTCTTTTTTTCAGGTCTTTGCAAACAGCTGGTTCAACAGGGTTGTTTTTGATTGAATTGAAATTTTCGATTGCGTATACTCTTTATACACACTACTTCCAAATCAAGAACATTGTGTTTGAGACCTAGATGGCTTATTTCCTTTGATCAATAGATTATAGATGGAATCACCGCTTTATGACACTTTTGAGGCAATAAGCAAAAAATGCATGTCGCAGACGTTTTTTTTAAATAAAAAGTTTTTATTAACATTCAAACGACAGAGGACAACTAGCGCGATTGTGATTGCTAGCTCTTTAATGGTTTACGATGTTGAATGGTATACTGTGGAATGCCACACAGCTTATTTCTGGGTCCCTAGATATTTAAATATATTGAATGCACGCGTTTTATTATGGTGCTGAGCAGAGAGAAAGTTTATATAGTGTAATATCTTCATTGTCTCCTTCTTTTTCTTCCCTTTATAATTGAAGAAACATTACGAAAATGGCAATAACACAACTTAGCTAACTGATAGATCGGTGTCAATGAACAAATGAAGTCAGTCAGTCAGTCAGTCAGACTGTCTGTCTGTCTGTCTGTCTGTCTGTCTGGCGGCTTAATGATTGAATAAGTAAATGAATGAATGAAGAAAACCGATCGCTTATCTCCTTTCTACGTCGCGCCTTTCCCTCCTCTCCCCACGACAACAAAGGGAGAGTGAGGAGGGGAGATGAGAGAAGCTGGGGAGAGAAAGTGGCTAGTGAGACATATGGTACCCACAAACAACAACTCGCCTGAAAAAATTTTTTATGATACCATATATTATCAAGTAATTAAGTCTTATTCAAGCTTTTGATTGTACAGCAAGTAATTTTTGCCCTTTTTCGTCGACATAATGATATTCATGATGCTCGGAAGTCAATTTGCATAAAATATCATTTAACATCCGATGTAGGTCGATATCTTCACTTAAGGTTAAATATCAGCCGGTCAATATTACTAAAGCCTTTAAAAGCTGCATGAAATATTCTCATTCACAATTTACATCAGCAATTAAGCCACAACTCACTGAGGATATTTTCAAGCTATATCACTTTAGATCAGAGCACAGGCTTATTATATAAAATTATAAATTCATTTTAGTCAAAACATCCGAGAAGTCAGTCCTAATGAATTTGTAAATGAAAATCGATCGAGCGTTACGCTTTAATATTTTAGTGTTACCGACCAACTTTCATTTGTTTCTTTCGTCCTGGTAACCGTCATTCCCTCGGTGGAATTCCAGTTTAAAGCCGTGCTCTCGAACAGAAGGAAAGATACTCAGCTGACCAATAGTAAAGCTTCGCCAAGAAGGTGTTTGGAATCAAATGATATGCAAAAATATTCAAAACAAATAATTGCACAGGAAGAAGCATTCAACCCAAACTATAAAATATTCGTGAGTGCATCTGTCGTCACGTCGATCAATTTCTCTCTCAATGTACACGTTACACGTAAATTCGACAACATGTCATTGTAAATAATAGCCATTTTAATTATGCTAATGAGACGAGGAAGAGAGACAGGCAGAAGCGACAGCCTTCCAAAGTTGCGTTCAAGATACAACACCGACAAACACAGTGGGCGCTTTGAGCAAATTGAATTACGTAGTAGATACAAAAAATCGACAATAAGAGCGTTTTTCATGGACTTTATTTCGACAAACATGATAGTAAACAACCATAGCTGATTTCATCGTCGTGCCGTTGTCATAGAAACGTGACGTCAAAGGTCAATCCCTCCCGTTCTTAACGTTACGCATGCGTCCAGGTCGGTCGTTTATTGATGAATTAGGTCACGTGTGGTGATTGGCATTTGTTTTACCACCTGGCCCTTTGTCATTTCCTTTGCCTAGCAGCACGCTGAATSTTCACCCATTTTCCATATTTTATTTCCAAAGTTTCAAGTTTGGAATAGGTGGCTAAAAACTTATTCAAATAGACTTAGATTTAGTGCGGATTTATTATGTCGGGATCACATCCTCAAACGATTCTTCCCAAACCGATGACCAACTTTCCGGTATTGGCTCCTAAGCCAAATGGCTCGGGCCTCTCTAACGGGGATAATTATGAGGCAGGGGCTACTCAGAATAAGAGAGAATTTGGCAGCGGCCAAGAGTCAAGATTAATGAACCAGAAGTATCTGAATGACGAAGCTTTCCAAAGGAGGACGAGCCAACGCAAGAGAGCTAAAGTATGTTGCAGTTCTATTTTCATTACCTTCATTTATCATTCACATTATGCAACATTCTTGACTAATTGTTAAGATTATCTTAGTGGCTGTCGTCGTAACCGGCTCACGACGCATCAAAGACCACTTTCCAGGAACCAGATTTAGTCCGTGTGAAACGGTCGAAGCCATAGGTTGTACCATATCCACTGACCCCGACCACTTCTATCAAAACACGCAAACACATACAACTGTCAAAGCAAGGAATTTACAGATCTGACTGGCTGGCTCAAGTCACATGGGCCAAACTTCATATCATTACTATCCCGTTCCTTTAACTTTAGCAAGAGTTGGATTTTCCCTGATGAAGTTTGGCAACTCCTACATTGACTTTAACTAGTCGACAGCGACTAGTATAAGTGATTTTTCAAAAGAATATCGAATTGAAAAATGAAGGTCTCCAAATGTCATTACCATAACAATGCTGCCATTGTTAAACTTCAACCTCGAGCGTGTTTGACAAAAAATGATTCAGCTAGAATTTTGGTCGCCTTCAGCTGTTGTCTGACAAACCAAAAGCCCTAACCAATCGAAAAATGTCATTTTTGAGGGACTTTGGTCAGTCTTTCCGCCAGATATATTTTCATAAATTTTATCCTTAGTTTAGTGTTTACATATTTTATGCCCCAACGGTGATTTGTAGCAATGCATTGCGGGAGCTAGTTTGGTGTTTAGGTCAGCTGTTGGACGGGGGGAAGTAAAATAACTTTGAAAGGAAAAATCCATGCGAGAAAACGTTTTGATCACGCTTAAAATTCTCCAGAATACAAAACAGACCTTCAGCTGATGGCAATAAGTGTTAGATACTCAAAATACAGCGAAAAGGGGAAGATTTTGTAAGGCAAATTCAAGACAAAGTCATGGAGTCCATGAAGGTTGGTTTTAGCTCCTTGGCGCGAACTTGTGAACATGTGGGAATTCTCTAGTAAAACACTTTAACGGATATTGAAATTGTCGGAAAAAGAGCTCAGATGATAAATGAGAAACTCGGAGCAAGGATATTATTATTCGTTCGAGTCGCGAAGTTTTAATGAGTCCGGCGTATAAGACCACGAAGAAAATCCGGTCGTAAGAAACGAAACATGCCAATTCTCGTACCAAAACTTTAGTTCTTCTGAAGTTAAGCTTATATTAAAGAGAAAAGTTTTATATTTCACAGACGGCAATTATTTTCCAGCTATTTCCGTTACTAGTGTAAAGATTCTCCAAGACCATGGTATAATATCTTTGTTTYATCTAGGGAATCCATTCGATGGCCATGATCTCGGTGTTCGATGCGATCTTACAGGAAACGCAATGCAATAAATTTTCTCTGACTCTTATTCTCGATTTCCAAGACTTTTTCGTGTATCTTAGTCTTTTGTACAATCTATAAATTTCCTTTTTTCCAAGGTTTTTTTCGGGTTTTTACGGCTTCGTGTCTTGTAAAAGGGTAACTCCCGATCTGTCAGTGTTCAGTCGAATATGTTTGTTTTTATCCCGCGAATGAAAATATATCTCAGACCGAACGCTATGTATGCGATCTTAAAACCTAAATAAAAAATACTCTTCCTTGATATTTTTCAACATTACTTTAGTTAATTTACGTCTCGTAATAATCATAACAAAAAAATCGCTTTTTTATATAGCCAAACAAGTTTTTTTCTACGTGATTTATGGCAAGGTTTAAGGTTCTATTTCATGTTTTTGTCTCAATAAGAAGCACTGTAACATCTCCTTAAGCGAGTATCTTTTGAAATTCAAGCTTAAATTGATAATATCAAAGGTTTTTTAGATTGTAATATGGTTTTATTGTGTTACTTATCGATTTTGTCTGGGTTTGTCGAATTCGTTGTACAGTATGCACGTGCTAATAAAGGATGGCACCTGCGAAGTACATGTTGGTTTCCCAGCACGTGGAACCGGGGAAAACTGGTACTTCTTTTGGAAGTTTCTACCCCTTTTGATATTAAACCAGAGTTTTTTTTGTTGCATTTGGGTTAGGCACATAGCAACCAATGTTTCAAATGCTTTCTGCTTTTGGATTGTTTTTTATTTATTTGTTTATTTTTGGATCATGATCTTATTTTGTGGATCATCCTCTGTATGAATTTGGCACTAAGTTATGGTTGACTGTGATGCATTAAGGGCCTGGTTGTTGTTGGGGGAGACCATTGGTTTCTTTAATTTATCAATACTTGTCAAACAGGAGTAAAATAAGTTTAACCACTTGCTCAAAGATTTCCATTGTCTTTCCTCTTATTGATCATAGATAACGTCTTAAAATGTTCAAAACTCAAGTGGTTTTAATGCGATTCCTAAGAATTTTTACCAATGGTGTTATTTTCACATGTGCAAATATCAGATAATATCTTCACATTTTAAGATAACACTTTCTAATAATAGAGATAAGTAGACATTTCCTTGATGATCTTATCATATTAACAATTTTTTTTCGCATAACAGGTAGAATATACTGAGGTGGATGAAAAACTAGCAACATTAACGGATGACGAACTTAGCGATGATGACATTACTATGAAGGTATTTGAACCGGAGCCAAAAGTTGAGGAAATTCCAGAAGAAGAGGATGACGAAGATGACGATATTCCCCAAGGTATGTTTGATGCTTATGCACTTACTACATTTTTTGATATTCTGCGAACTATGCAGTTACAAGCTCCATGGCGATCAATCAAAAATAATCAGTTGGTACCTTTTATGTTCTTGACTGACGGCAGTAAAAACCCAATCTCACAACRAGGCGCCAAAATGTCGGAGTTTGCAGAATATCAAAAACTACAGTAAAAAATAATCAGAGAAATGGCAAACTTAAAAATAGTGAACTTTAGGTGGAGCTGATAGAAATTGTGAAATTGTCTTTTTTATCACAAAGATTCGTAGGGATGTTGTTTTTAATGATTGCTGAAAGCCAAGACATCACACAGCTGTTGAGCTAACAAAAAGTTAAATATTGCTTTAACCTATGAAGTAAATGCTCTACTATAGGGTTATCTTTTGAGTAGGGATTTTTGTTTCTCTCTTGCCAGCTGAGTTGACCTTCGGAACCAACTCAAGGTCAACAAATAAGAATTGCACTATTTCATAATGACATCACGTTTTTGTTTACATCAGCTAAACTGTTAGAACTTTAGACTAAATTGAAGCTTGATTCTCTTCTTTCGGGATATTTAGTGTAATATTTAGTTGTTCTTGCCTTCACCTGCTCATAAACCAAATTTCATTGTCATTTAAGATGTGTTGATTGTCATTCCATACCCCTCAAGCGACCATGATCCCTAGCGTTAAAACAATAGTTTGTTTTGATGTGACGTCATTATGAAATAGGGCAATATTGAGGATTCGGCATGATATATTTAGTAGCATTTGCCATAATTCAGCACACTACTCACTGAGGACGTGATCAACTCTGCTGGTGTTCTTCTAGAGTTTTTTAGCCTTCTCTGGTCTTCCTTTCTCTGTGAAAATCAACTTCTTGAATTCTTTTAAATTCAGCTGTAAAAACCATATGCTACTTGAAGCACCCTTACAGTGGTAAACTAACTGAATATTTTTTCAACCTCTAGGCTTGGAAGGTGCAGCATTCAGGAGTAGACTACCATTTGATAAGATGACATCACAGGAAGCTTCTTGCTTCCCTGATATTTCTCAGGGTCCTCCACATTTACAGAAACAATTCCTGTATATTAGAAATAGATTGGTAAGTCTGTAGATACTGTAGGAAAACTACACAGTGTGTCTTTCACCTAAAATTAATGGCTGCTCAATGGCTGCTAGCCACATTGGTCTAACCAAGATGCATTTGGCCAGGCGTTGCCTTCAGACCCCTTGCAGCACTAACCTTGCAGCATGTCAGAATGCAGCTCAATTTGGAGGACATACATGTAACAGACTTCCAATTCTTATTGTTTTGTCCTCCAAATTGAGTTTCTTTGACGTCATATGCAAAATTTGCTGGCTAATATTCTTAGCCCTGTCCTGTAAATTTGATGGCCTGTGTGTGTGACCAATGATTAAAATTGAATTTTCAAATCATGGTACAATATGCTTGCAGTCTTAGGCATACAATCAAGGACAGACATTAATGGTAACATGCTTATTAAATGTTACCACTTTTGAAGCCTGGCATGGATTGTTTGTGATTTTAATCCAGCTGTTGATATTATTTTTTTGCTTTACAGCTTCAGTTATGGTTGGAACATCCCAAACAGCAACTACACTTTGAAAGTGGACTTGCGCAGATAGAACCACCACATAATAGTAAGTAAGAGGAGATGACGAGGGTGATGATGATGCACGTGTAGTGGAAATGATGAAGATGATGAAAGTATTAATATGATGATAATATGCGTAGTGATGATGACGATGTTGCTTGTGATATTGATGAATGTGATGTTGGAAATGACGATGATGATTAGTGTATTGATATGATGATAACATGCATAGTAATGATGGGGAAGATGCTTGTGGTATTGATAAATGTAGTGTTGGTTGTCAAGTTGTTGTCAACTAGTAACGAAAAGTGCTGGCTTTCAAAGCCAAAACTTAAATTCTATATATTTAACAGACTAGTTGGATTTGACTGAAACAATAATAGTCCTCTAACCCTCATGGCCTAAGAGTCAATAGCCCATTCTGGCTCAAGGACTAATTGCTAAATAGTATCAATAGAAATACCTAATGCTAAAACGTCTCTTGGTTCTTTTAGATGATCCCAGACTTGTTCAAAGAGTTCATGCATTTCTGGAAAGATATGGCTCCATTAACTTTGGTGTCTATCAGATGACCAAGAAACCACCTAACTGTGAGTAAGATTATAATAAAACAAGTTTCAATCAAGTATTTTTTCTTTTGAAATCCCATTTTGGCAAAAAAATTTCAAGCAAAACAAAGAACTTCATGACCTCTCCTCCCATAGAGCGCATGCAGTAAAACCATGAAATAAAAACAATAAAAAATAAAAAGTTGATACTTACAAATTTTACTATTTAGTGACTAATAGTTGCTATCACTGAACCATAACATTTATTACACAAAAGACAAAAGACGAGAGACCATTTGTGTCTTTTGTTTAATAAATGTTCTGGTTGAGTAATAGCAACTATTAGTCACTAAATAGCTACTATTAATTTTGTTAGTATTAACTTTGTTTTCATTTCATGTTTCATGGTCTCAATGCATGCACTCTAAATACATTCCCCCCCCCCCCCCCCCTTCATTAGTAATTTATTTGTGATCCCTTCTTTCAATCTCTTGAATTTTTGTCCCCCACTCCCCTCATTCTTGCTCAATTTATTGTAGTGAAAAAAGCACCAAAAGTAATAGTTGTAGGAGCAGGGATATCTGGTCTTATGGCTGCACGTCAGTTACAGAGCTTTGGTATTGATGTTACTATAGTCGAAGCAAGAGTATGTATTGGTGTTAACTATGATACTTAATGAACAGCTTACACATGTTAATTGACACTCCGCTGATTGTTAGCCAATCATTGGTCTGCACTTTGCCAACACTTCATTGATGAAACAACTTCATTGCTCTTACACATGCTCTTTCTGTTTGTTGTTTTGATCACCAAARRTGAAACGGAAAGAGTGTGCATGCTAGTTGACACACAGGAGTAGGGTATGGCGAAATGTAAACTACATCCGGTTTCTAAAAATAGCCCAACCAGGAACTTACATGGCGAGCGTGATATTAGAAAAATTTCCCTCTCTTCTTTATCTCTGGATTTCACGTAATGACCCCTACGTTTCATTGTGCAGGAACGCGTTGGTGGTCGTGTAGCCACATTTCGTGAAGGCCAGTTCATAGCTGATCTAGGTGCCATGGTACTTACTGGACTTGGTAGGTATCACTCTGCAGTACGTAGGAATGCATCTCAATTTGGAGGACATAACAATAGGTTTCCTATTCTCATAAGTTTTTGTTTTGTCCTTCAAACAGAGCTGCTTTGACATCTCGCACAAGGGGCCTATAGTAGTACAATATTTTGGAATGAGTAATGGCAGAACCCAATCCTTTCCCATACAGTCTTTTTGGCATTATTTTATGGTGATTACTGTTGTGCGTTGGGAAATTCGTTGGGAAATTTCAAAGTACATTGCGAAATTGACAGGTGCTTTGGCATTATTARCCAATCAAATTGTGGACTTCAAAAATATTGCTACCAATTTACTTGGAGCTTAAGTTCAGAGTTTCAATCTTCATTATGTAAATATAAATACTTATATAAGACTAAGTGTGAAGTGATGTGAAAATTACTATAACCGTTGTATGTCATTGGACTCTTTTTGTGTCGGGAATTATTGAAAGATTTCTTTTTTCCCTAGTTGTGATGGTAGTCATTGTCAAACTTTTGGCGGGAATTGAGAAGGGAGGGGGTATTGTCAAAAGGGTGGGTGGAGTGGGATTAATAGTATTGTGAAGGCCTACCAAACAAATTTCTTGACTTCTCCCCCCCCTGCCTGATCTAAAGCTTCAGTTCCCTGCGCAATCTTGGAAGGTAGCCGTGCCTTTGCATCGAAGTGAGACGAACGGTCAGCTTGCAATGATAGTGACCTTTTTTTAACACCTTGGACAATTATTCACATGTCTCTATCATTGCAAGCACACCGTTTGTCTCGCTTCAATGTAAAGGTATGGCCACCTTTCAAGATGGAGCAGGGAACTGTGATGGGGACTATTAGTGAAAGTCTCATTAATCTGTCTACTCATGTGTTTTTAGGTGGAAACCCACTCACAGTCCTTGCAAACCAAATAAACATGGAGTTACATAAGATAAAACAGAAATGTCCACTTTACGAAACCATTGGAAAACCGGTACATTAGGTTTTTATGTCCAAACATTTTAAAGGGTTGTGAGCCAGCATTCTTGTATGATGTCCTTGTCAAACGTATGAATGATCTCATTCACAAGAGAATGACATGTGACAGTCTGATATGGAAAGACATCACACCCAAGCTCGTAGCAAGAAAACTGGCTCATAGTAGACCCTTTTCGAGTTCCAAATTACCACTGTGTTTCTTGATTACAGACTCATTTGCACAGGGTTAGCCTTGAGTTTGTGCAGAATATTCATGTGTTCCAGTCAAGGTCCGTCAAGTTTCAAAGTGTTCGTATTGTTGTAGTTGTGCATTCTTTACTTTACTGTTGCTATTTGTGAATATTTAAACACTGATACGAGGCTAAACCTGTGCAAATGAGTCTGTAATCAAGGAACACAGCGGTAATTTGGAACTTGAAAAGGGTCTATTCACAGATACGAGATTTTATGAACTTAACATGACATGACGTAGCAAGGCAGAAAAATATAATGAAGACAGTAAGGCAGATAAAAAGTATAGAGTAGTGAGCTCTTTTAACATGAAATTTGAAATCTATGTATTAAAATAGATTCTACGTTCATAATAATTAGGAAAACGAATTAAAAGTGAACCAAAATGTAAAATTGTGAAAATTTTTACTAATGGTTTGAAAAGTTTTGTTAATATTTGAAGAATAAATGAAAAACAATTTTGGTTAAAAATAAGCCTGCAATTTGCACTTACGTGAAAAAGTTTACTAAAAGTTTGCAAGAATTCAAGATAATTTTAATTGAGTATGCTTTACTTGAGTGAATTCAATAGTTTAGGCAAACTAGAATAAAGTAGAATTAGTAGACAGCAAAGTTAGATGAAGGATAGAAAAAAATAGATTTGAATAAATAGTTCAAGATAAATCACATGCTGACACTCTGGGATAAAAAAAGGGGGAAAAAAGAAGAGAAAATAAAAATAAAAAAGGAGAGAAAGCAAAAAATCCACATGTTAACATGCTGGGAAAAAAAGGAAAAATAGACGAGACGAAAAATAAAAAAGGAAAAAAAGAGAAAAAAATGGAATGCTAACATGCTGGAGGGAAAAAGGGGGGGAAAAAGAGAGAAGAAATGTAGAAAAAGAGGGGGAAAAACATGCTGACTGGATCATAACTGATTCGTTATTCTACAACATGTGATTTCCTTGGCTGAGGAAGACTTCAGGCAGATTTGCTAAGCAGGAGATCCAACGATCCACACACTACTCATCAGATTTGAGCCCTTGTTTTCATTATATTTGCAGGCCGTAAGAGATCATAATTGGGTGTACAAAACAAGTGGATCTCAAGCAATTAGGGTGAATTAACCAATGTTACTAATTTGGTTAATGAGTAATTTGTAGCGCATCTCTAGTTGATTTGGTGTGCTTGATTACCACCTTGCCGTCAAAGATTAGGGCCAAACTAAATGACATTTATAAACACATCGATACCTTTACTTATATATTGTCTCTCATTTTTACCAGGTTCCTAAGGATAAGGATGAAATGGTTGAGAGGGAATTCAACCGACTATTGGAAGCAACATCATTTCTGTCGCATCATTTAGATTTTAATTATATGAATGGGAAGCCTGTGTCTTTGGGCCATGCACTAGAGCTAGTGATAAAGTAAGTAATCCTAAGATTAAAGGCATAACCTAATTTGGAGTCCTAGAAATTAGGTCAAAATAAGTGGTCCTGTTTTAAGAGGGGTGGGGTCAACTAGTACCCACTACCCCTTGAAGTGAAATCCTAGATTTTGTACTCAAATATCTTCTGAAAAGTCCATTTTTGCAGTAATGAATGCATTGTTTGTTTTAAGGTATGCTCTACAATGCCGTATTTTTGTGTAGAAATAGTCAATACAGGCACCCAGTATCAATCATTTTGAAGATTACATATTGGGGGGGGGGGGGGTCACTTCTTGGCGCCCACTAACTATGCCAAAGTCATGTTTCTTCGGACTAATTGTTTTGCCCTTGCTCTAAGTATATGAATGTGCTCAGGGCTAAAAATGAGCTGTTCAATGAGCAGATATCATGATCTGCCACATTTGACTTATCAACATGTGGTCAGACGATTAGCCCAAGAGGTGTGGACCAGATAAATGCCATTTAATTTTGGCTGGATGTTGTTGCTCGACCAGCCATTATCTTTAGCCCTGGTGTCACCAACCTTTCCAATTGCCTTAATCCTCTAGTAAAAACATTCCATAGATTTTTGGCCAATCGTGTTCATCATATAGCTTGTCATTGATATTTTTACAATAAATTCAGACATTTTCCTTGCTTATCTCAATTTCAGGTTACAAGAAAAACAAGTGAAAGAACAACAGATAGAACATTCGAAAAAGATTCTTGGAATTCAAGACTTGATGAAAGAAAACTTGGCAAAGGTAAAGTCAATATTAATCCAACAAAATAAGTGTTGTAACATAACTCAGACAACTAGATATAATTTGATTATGAAAGGCCTTGTATTTTGGCTTCTGGAAAACAAATTTCTGATGGTCTTGGACTGTCTTGGTTGTGTAATAGTCTCTTTTCTCATTCTCAGTGACTAAACACTCATCTGCACAGGCTTAGCCTTGTTTAAGAACAAATCATTTGCAAAAGTCAACTGTAATGTAAGGAATGTGCAGCTTGAACAATACCAAAGTTTTGAAATCTGACAGACTTTTAATAGTATCTTTGAATGGCTGACTTATAAACGAGGCTAAACCTGTTCAAATTAGTCTGGTCTTCAAAAAGAAAAAAAATAAATAATGGGAGTTTCTTATATAGCACATTTCAAATATCTCAATGGGCTTTACATTTATGACCAGTGGAGGACTTTATGGGCTGCATATTAAGGTGCTATTAGCAGCCGTGCATATTACAATCATAGGTGTGAATTTTTAGTAGATTAGTATTATGCCTCCAAATTGGGATAGGCTGTTGAACCGGTAGACAATCCCCTACAGCAAAAAACAGCAGTATGTATTGACGAACTGGTGTTTTAATGAAAGTGATTTTATGTGTGTGTTTCAGATGTTATCTCTACAAGACAAAGGACGACAAACACATAACGAACACCAGGATGCCATAAAGAAAAAGAATCAGACAAACACTGGGTAGGTTTTTAGATTATGAGCAAAATATCATGAAAAAAATTGCAAAAAAAGTTTTTAAATGTCTATTCAACTGGACATGTTATTGTTTTTTCAGGGATGTTACGACAGAATTTTTGATCAAAAGCAAGCAAAGAGATCTCAATGCAATCTGCAGGGTAAGAATCTAAAAAATAGCTGTATTTATGATGACAGTCATAACCTACCTATATGTAATGTATGCAATATGAGCGGCTGTCGTATCACGAATTGGAGGCAATTGATTGCAGATCAGATACAAACAGATGCAAATGGGAAGCAATAGTGGCATGTGCTGCTAATGCACCGCCTCTCACCAATGCAGCCCGAGTTCGAGTCCTACCAGGTTCGGTGTCGTATGTGAGTAGAGTTGTTTGTTGGTTCTCTCCTGTGCTTCGAGGGTTTTTCTCCAGGTTCTCCAGTTTTCCTCCCTCCTCAAAAATCAACTCGTAAATTCTAATTCAATCTTTGGGCTTTCACTTAGTTTGGAGCCTAGCTCTGTTGTGATTGTCCCACTCTGTGATACAACAGCGAAAGCTTTGTAGATTTTTAAATGTACTTGTGAACTACTTATAAATCATTTTGTTGGATTAAATTTCATTTTGCATTGAAATTTGAAAGATTTAGTTAAGTTTTGCTGAGAAAATCCAAGTCCTTAAAGCTTATGCTTTCATGTAACCGAATTACAAAGCATTTCACAGTAGAGTACAAACACTAAAGGTGTGCAACACTTTGCACTATTTAGTAGTAAATAGTGCTAATTAAACAATAGAAAACAATAGGATTAGCATAATTCAGCAGCATTTAGTGGTATTTATGTTACACACTCATAGTGTTTGTACTCTATAATTTCCGCTTTGTAATCCTTTATGAAAATCAATAAGCTGAATAAATAAGATCAAGGTAGAAAGACTTAATATTGATATATATTTTGTTTTTCCAGGAGTATGATGAGTTAGCTGAGGAACAACAGCGTCTTGATGAAAAACTAGAAGAACTGGAGAACAATCCCCCAAGGTATGTACATTAGTACTGTTCATTGATATTTATAATACACTCTACAAAATTACTTAATTCTGATTGGACAAGAGGAGTACAATGAAATCCCAATTTGTACTCTGTAGAGTTCCAATTAAGTTGCTCAATTTTTTGAGTGTATYATAAACAAGAAAAAGCACAATCTACTTGTACAATTCGTACTGCCTAGTGACAGCTTGTGAGAGCTCTTTATCATGATCTAATACTTGTTGATGTTTAAGGTCTCTTATTGCCTTGCTAACTACTGTCATTCTACTTTTTGCTTCCTAGTGATGTTTACCTATCTTCAAGAGATCGGCAAATCCTTGACTGGCACTTTGCCAACCTGGAATTTGCAAATGCGACGCCACTCACAGCGCTATCACTAAAACACTGGGATCAAGATGATGATTTTGAGTTCAGTGGAAGTCACATGACTGTGCGTAATGGGTATTCCTGTCTGCCAGCAGCTCTTGCAGAGTGTCTGGATATTAGATTAAACACTGCCGTTAAACATATCCGCTACAACAGATCAGGTGAGAAATTAATAATTATCCAAGTCTATTAGAAATTTGACTAAATTTACATTTTAGTTGCCATTGGTAACACTGTTTTTTCTTACCATGGTAATAAAAGGGATCATCCAAGTTAATTGCAGTGGTTGCCATAGTAATGATAGTAGAAGCTGTCATGTTATTGCTTTTTTAGTGGTTACCATGGCAATGGGCCTTGTTAGCATAGTAATCTTTGAGAAAAAATGAGTTCAATAATAATTTTAATAATCACCATGGTGATATCCATGGTGATAACAAATGCTCGTTATAAAAAATGGGAACGTTTAAATTTTGGGGAAAATTTCAAGTTTATTATAGATTGATGATTTAAACTTTTTCATCTTCAAGGTGTTGAGCTTGTGACCCAGAGTACCAATACACCATCCATCACCACCACCCAGACATTTAAAGGTGATGCAGATTAGATTATGCTACCCCTTGGGGTACTAAAAGCTCACCTTCCAGCTGTCCAGTTTCATGCAAGTTTATTGTAGATTGATGTTTTAAACTTATTATCATTTTCAAGGCGTTGAGGTTGTAACCCAGAGTACCAATAAATCATCCATCACCACCACACAGACATTTAAAGGTGATGCCGTTTTGATTACCCTACCACTTGGGGTACTAAAAGCTCACCCTCCAGCAGTCCAGTTTCATCCAGCACTGCCTGAATGGAAAATGGCTGCCGTACATCGCATGGGATTTGGAAACCTTAATAAGGTAAAACATTAGCTCCTGTCATAACTGTATTATGCATGAAAGAGCAGAATGCTTTTCTTTCTGCATTTCCAGCACTCGCATATTCAGTACCATTGGGCTTGCTGGTTGTAATAACACTTATTTTGAGGCTTCATTCACCAGTAGCTCCGGTACTATACTGCAAGCCTGCCTCAATTGCTGGCACTGAGAGTGGTCACAGCCAGGGTTTTGTTGCATTCTTAATGGTTCTTTTACATCCGCCATTTAACGTAGTCATCTGAGCCATGAGGGATTCACTATCCCCACACCTCCACTTTGGCATGAGCTAGGGATCGAACCCAGGACCTTCCACGCCAAAGCTGGGAATGCTCGGGAACACTAAAACTGTGCCACTGAAGCTCTATGACTGCATGAATGTGTATCTATCATTACTAATGTTAGAGCATTTTTTAATGAATGTGGTTTCTTTGCCATTTTTTCATTGCTGTGCACTGATCAAGACAAAACTTATGATAGGTAATTGGCATTGGTATAAACCTACAAATTCTGCAATCTTATTGGCTGAGCTAAAACTAATTTGTTATGACCAAGCTAAAACTAATTTGGCCAGTCATAATGACCAGCCACTGACCAGCCATTATTTGTAGCAATGAAAACAGTAAATTGCAGCTACCGATAATAACGCCTTTTTAATGGAATTTAATTTTTTCAAGGTTGTCCTGTGTTTCGATCGTATCTTCTGGAATCCAGACACCAATCTCTTTGGCCATGTTAGTGGTACCACCCTGAACCGCGGCGAGCTGTTTTTGTTTTGGAATCTTTACAAAGCGCCTGTCCTTATTTCCTTGGTCGCTGGAGAAGCTGCTAACAAGCTAGAGAACGTTGCTGATGATATTATCGTAGGACGAGCAGTTGCTGTGTTGAGAGGAATATTTGGTCCAAGCAATGTACCTCAGGTATTGTATTACTGAGCTTGGTATTAGTAATGTCATCTTGCCCCATGGGGGATCATGTTACTGTTGATGTCTCATTGTCCCATGGGGGGGTTATGTTAGTGTTGTCTCATTGTCCCATGGGGGTCAGTTTGGTTTTGTCTTACCCCATGGGGGGGGGGGGGGTCATGCTAGTGTCATGTGGGGAGGAAGTGTTATGATATTGTCCCATAAAGGGTCAAATACTTTTGCTCTATTCTCTATCTTAACATTTCTTAACATCACCCTTAACATTTCCCTTTGTTTTACTCTCCTCAGCCTAAAAAATCAGTAGTGACACGATGGAAATCAGATGAGTGGTCCCATGGTTCCTACTCCTATGTTGCTGCTGGCTCATCTGGTAATGACTATGACTTAATGGCCTCTCCCGTCGCCCCGCCTCCCATTTCAGCAGTCACCCCTGGCACTCCACAGCCACCAAACCCACCACGAGTGTTCTTTGCTGGAGAACACACAATAAGAAACTACCCTGCGACAGTACATGGTGCCTTACTCAGTGGATTAAGAGAAGCTGGCCGAATTGCTGATCAATTCCTTGGCCTTCCATACGAGGTTGGACGGGTCAGCCCACCAATGCAACAAACTCGGTAACCATTAACCTTGCTTGTCCAGAATCCTTGTAAAAGACGATCTACTTGAAAATCTTGTATCTTTCAAGAAAGACTTAAGAAAAGTGAATAAATAAGATACTGCCTTTTGCATTCCATTCAAATGCAAGTATTTGGATCTAGATTTTCCAGATTATGAACTTTGCCTTCTTTTGTCTCATGTTGATAGTTGAAGGCAACAACACTTTGTTTGTTACTTCTTCAAGAAATTTGAAGTTAAAGCTGGCATATATTAAATAGCATTATTTTGCATCATGCCTTACTGAAATTTTCATAAACATGCAAACTCTGTGTCTTTGAGTTGCACGCTAAAATTTGGGTTTTCGCTGCCTCCAGTCAAAAATATGAAAGGTACCAACTGATTAAGTTTGATTGACGGCAGCAAAAAACAAATAACAGCGTGCAGCTCACAGAAACAGAGGTCTTATGTTGATGAAAATTGCAGTAATGGACCTATAGTGTTATCATGAACTTCAAGATGCAGATATGCAAAACAGTCTTGCAGATAATGCTCCCAACAATGCCAGTACTCATTGGTCTTTATTTTGACTCAGAATTTATTGCAGGAATGGCTGTGGTAGATTTCTTTATAGTAGATTCAGGTTTTCTAACTCTCACTCTTGACCAACATGTATTAGCATAAGAAAATTTTTGGGCCTTATTCTTTCCCGCTACTTGAGGAGTTTTAAACAAAGAATCAAAGAATTAGAATAATAGTTAGAGTGAAGTTATTAAACCTCTGAAATAGATATTAGACTAACACACATTAGTAGACCCTAATTCCATTGTTTTCTTTTGTATCTATTTGACTATTACACGTTGACTAATAATTTTTATTTCACGGGTTAAATGCCTTCACTCTATAAATTAGAAATGTTAAACTACAAAAGGGCATTACAGAATAGCTTGTACATTAAAGAATATTTATTAATGAGATTGTGAATAAAACTTTTCTTGGTTATTTGTGGTGGTTTACTGTTTACTTAACATAGGGTAACCATAATGTTCAAGACAAGATTTGTGTTTTGGGTGGTAATTGAAGTGTGTAGTGAATAGTCCCTTTCACAGTTCCCTGCACCATCTTGAAAGGTAGCCGTGCCTCTGCATCGAAGCTTTCAATGATAGAGACAGGTGAATAATTGTCCAAAGTGTTTAAAAAAGGTCTCTATCATTGCAAGCTCACCGTTCGTCTCACTTTGATGCAAAGGCAAGGCTACCTTCCAAGATGGCACCGGGAACTGTGAAGGGGACTATTAGCCAGAAAAAAACCCCAAACCTTTCCTTGCCCAACAGCGTGGCTGCCCACTAGTAACTTACCATAAAACAAAAATACATCAGACTAGAGTGCAAATAATATACCCGTGAAATAGATAGCTAACTAATTACTAACTTTCGGCTGCCTAAGTCTAATTAGTTAAAATAGGTGTGCCGTGATGGGTAAACTAGTGCACGTGTGCTACTCAAGGGGGCGCATTTTTAAATATTTTTAAACACACTTACGAAAACTGAAACAATTTTTTGTTGTGCATGCTTTTCCTTCGTATAATTTGACGTTAGCATTTTCGTATCTATTCATTTGCCTATTGAGTTGTTACTCTAGTAAACACCCATGCCCTTGCCATGCCTCACTGACTTCCTATTTCTTGTCTAATTAAGCGCTAACTATCTCCTATTTTATCCTAACTATTTCACGGGTATATTATTGGCACTCTACCATAAAACAAAAATACATCAGACTATTGTTTGTTTTTCCTTCTTTTTACTTCAATAACTATCAAAGTTTAACTTACAAAACTGATCCATTAATTGGACTAAGTTTTACAACCTCTAATGAGAAGAATCCCATCATTACATGAATCCAGCGGCTTGCCTAATAATTTAATAAATTTAATACAAAAACAACATTCAAACTAGATTTTTCAACACACTAATAATATTAAGATGGCAAAGCACTTCGCAGAGCATCTAAGCTTGCCTGTGGCAAATAAGTTGGAAAGACAATTTCAAATGTTACCAGCATGTCAGCTCTTTGTCCAGGTTTTTTCGGCAGGGGCAATCCCTCTCCTTTGACTCTCTTTCTTGTTCCTGGCTTGGTGATGTCAGTCAGGGGTATATTGATTGTTCTGTTGTCTAGGGTAGGAACTTGCACACTAGCTCCATTAGCAAAGCCTGTAAGAGCATCACGGAGGGATATCTTAGCAGTGTACAGAATATTGTTATCAGAATCTCTTGTGAAGTGCTTATGCTCCTTGTCTTGTATAATGAATATTATATCTGCTGGGATAGTGTTGGGGTTCTGGTCTCCTTCCTTGGCAAATGTTATCTTTGTTCCGGATTTCCAGCCCTTCTTCACATCTAGTGTCAAGATCTTTTCTTCATTTCGAGTGGTTTGCCCATCTGCGTTAAGCACTTTCCTCATTATCTTGAGTTTCTTCTGCGTTCCAGTAAGTAGTTCTTCGTAGGATACACGAATAATCTTTTCTATTGGTGGATCTTGTGTTTTCTTTCTTCGGGTGAAAGATGGCAGCTCTTCGAAAGATGAGGAGCGCCTTCCTTGAGTAGTAGACTGAGTGGTGAATCCTCCCATGCTTGGAAAGCTTGTAAAACCAGAAAAGCCAGACGGCCCACTTTGTCCAAAAGAAGCACTGAAGAAATCTAAAAAAAAAAAAGAATTAAAATCGTTTTTAGCAATAAATTGCAGTTGTGAATGCCAACAGACTGATGAATGATGACAACTTTATTTTCAGAGGGTGACATTCGACAGCTGACCAAGTGTATTCATAGAATAGATTTTGAATAATTGAAATAAGTATACAGATTTGTTCCAACCATAACACGAGACATTAATCCTTATACGATCAGAAGCTGTTTGAACATGCTTTTGACAGTGCCTTAGCAATCTGATTGGATGAGTTCTGACGTCATCAGTTGATACTGTTACTGGTATAACATGCCCATACTTTTAACTAGGCTGACAAAAGGTCAGACTAATTAGTCTTAGTCCTGGGGGGGTACTCCGCCAGAATTTGGGTAGGGGTGTTCTGCTGGGATTCTGAAAGGGGTACCCTGTTTACAATAAAAAAACTCAAATTTGTGGACCCTGTTTATGATAAGAGAGATAATTTATTGCACTGAGTTCCTGTTTCAATTATCATGTCATCTAGCGTATCGGTTTTTTTTAATGACCATAGTAACCAGTTTCGGTCAATATGAAAGTAGAAACCCTGAATATAACTGGAAACTCAGGAAGAACTTGGAATTTGAGTGAAATTGCATACCCTGTTTATGACAAGAAGCTCAAAAAACCATACCCTTTTCAGTGGATCATCCCCGTATGCTATGTATATGGGAGTACTCCCAAACCCCCCCCCCCCCCGGGTCTTAGTATTAAGCTCCTTATTTCCTTTTGATGTTATGCTACACTAGGAATTATCAGGGGGATTCTATTCAAATTCAAACTCCAATAATAATGCAAATTCATTCAGCCAATTTTTGTCTCAATGCAAAAAATGCATAATGCATTCGCACTTGTTCCAGGACGATAATCACAGATTTTTGATATAAACAAACGAATAATCGCCTGGTACAGGAAACCCAAAAACTAAAAACAATGATTATAAATATTTGAAAACTAGAAATTATACAAGAGAATGATCTTGAAATAAAAAAATCCTCAGTAATTTGATTATAGTACAGATAATAGTTCATTGACAATGAAAATTTAAGTTTTGCTCAAAGCAAAATAAAAGTCAATTGTAGATTGGCTAGATATTTGGATAAAAAATGATATAATTATTAGCAAAATTATCCGTACAGCAAAACAAAGCGATCAAATCAAAGCAAATGCTCACGATATTATTATCTTTGAAATCTTAGCGAGGTAATATGTAAACACAACGATCAAACAAATAGTTATTCGACTCTATGGGAAACTAAAGTTTTGAAATTGGGTGAAATTATAGTACGATCTTGTAGTTAACCTATAACCACAAGTGCAATATCAAAGGAAGTGGCTTTGAATGGAAGAAATTATTGGGCGTCTCTCACCTTTGAATGGGTCTTCATCCCCGAATACGCTTGAGAACGTAGCTTTAGGATCACCATGGAAAGTAAAAGTAGTAAATCCTTCGGGCATGTGAAACTCCTGGAAGTTTGCAGAGCCAGGAGGTGGCCCTGTTCCCTTCAAACCTTCCTCGCCATATTTGTCGAAGACCTCGCGTTTCTGAGGGTCACTCAACACTTCGTAAGCCTCTGCAATGTCCTTGAATTTCTCATCTGCTCCTGGACTTTTGTTTTTATCAGGATGGTACTTGAGAGCCATTTTCTTGTAGGCTTTCTTGAGGTCTTGTTCGCTGGCATCGCGAGGAACTCCAAGAATTTTGTAGTAATCTTTCCCCATATTCAAGCAAGTTCACTCCAGTAAATATTCGACAACACACGAACTCCAAAAAAATCACTCAGCATTCACTTCACATGATAAAACACCTAAAATGATGTCTCAGCTCTTAATAAAGCTATAACGAGAGAAAATTTATATGTAATCGGTAGCGAAAGACTTTTTTCTTGGCTTCCAGTTTCATATATATGGAAGTTAACTAGCTTCTAGACCCTTCTAGATCTTTCTTTCAAATGAAATCACGTGCTCTTTGTTTATACGTATGAAATATTTGTACGAATATTTTGTAAGTTGAACAATATATTTCAAAATGTATTTCCTTTTTTAGTGGTAAGAAAACATTATAGAAAATATGCTATTTATAATCTTGATTTTAAAAAAGCGAAATGCTTTTTTTCTTGGCTTCCAGTTTCATATATAATAATAATAATAATAATATTTCTTTCTTTCGACAGTAAACCTATGTCACATTAGTGATTTACAATAGGGAAGTGCATTAAGAAATACACAAGCAAAATCAAAAAAACGATATGCAAAAGACAATAAAGAAAAAATATATTAATTAATCAATTAATAATGGATAAATAAAGTAAAGTATATATATATAATTTTAACCTAAAAATTAGCTACTAGTTCTAGACCCTCCTAGATCTTTCTTTCAAATGAAGTCACGTTGTTTATACGTATCAAATATTTGTACAAATATTACAATTTCCTATTATTTTGTATTGGTAAAGTTGCACAATACATTTTATAAATTTACTATTTATAAAAAGGGTATGGTAAGAAAACATAGAAAATATGCCATTTAGATGCCACTTTCTTAATTCTAAAAAAGCGGAAGGCTTTTTTTCTTGGCTTCCAGTTTCATATATATATGGGAGCTACTAGCTTCTAGACTCTTCTAAATCTTTCTTTGTTTATATATATTTCAAAATGTTTTTTTAAATTTGTTATTTCTAAGAAAAAATAGTAATAAAGCGTTTAGATTGTTGATAATATTCTATTTTCATAGAAATTTTCAGATCTTTCTTTGAAGACGCGTGACTTTTGTTTATGCGAAAGTGATTACTAGTATTTCGTATTGATAAAGTTGTACAATATTGTTCATAAAATTACTATTTATRAAAAGGCTAAATCCGTGAAACAAATACTAATTTTTAGCACTAAATAGTGATAGTTAAACAATAGAAAACAAAGGATTCTGCATGAAATAGTACTAATTATTATTTTTTTCCGGTCCGGTATCCTAAAAAATCGTGCGTTCTGATTGGCTGTTTGAGCGGGCGGTATTTTGTCAGTATCTGCCCGCGCGCGCGGTCCGGTATCCTTTGCYTCTAAACGACAACACAAAACGATTACAAAAACAAGTTTAAAAAATACGGGGAAAAAATAAATAAGTTATTTACCGTCCTATAGTCGGTCCGGATAGGAAAAACTGTGCCCTCGGTCTTGAAAACGGACCTCGGCCTAACGGCCTCGGTCCGTATATTCAAGACCTCGGGCACAGTTTTTCCCTATCCGGACCTCCTGCCCGGTAAATAACATATATGTACTATTTAATGTTCACGGTTTTAGTGCGTGCACTATGTAGAGTGCAAACAATTTATCCGTGAAACACTAATTAATAAATAGTACGAAATAGTGCTAATTAAACAATAGAAAACAATGGAATTTGCATGAAATTGTGCTATTTAGTATTACTAAAGTTTCACGGATTTACTGTGGTCACTGTAAGGGAATATTATAGAAAATATAATTTTGAAATTTCCAAGATAATTTTTCAAAATATAGTGACATATCGTGAAAGCCAAAAAAATAAATATGTGGATCAGATTTACTCATTTTTGAAAAATTAAAATGAAATTAAGTATTGTAAGATAAGATACGACATTTATTCAAGGCAAAACTTTGTTGATCTTGAAATCGTAAATTTTAGAGGATGTAAACAAAGTCCCTTTCAACCATCAATTTTTACATATATTTTTCTTTCACACGGTACCCTTGATTTTGCAAGTCTATTGTATTTTTCTTTCCGAATTTTTAGCTTAAAATTTAAACTTTTCTTTAAAAATAAGCCCCTCTAAAATCTCAGTCCATGCATCGCTCAACATACTATTGTTATTTGCAATATTTAAATGCTGCCATTAATCAATCTGTCTGCGAAGGTCAATAATCCATGTCATCTCATACGAACCTTTTACGGTATGAAAAAAAAAACGCACTTCATACATTCATATCTAGAAAGATCTTTCTGCTGTTTTTCTTGACAAATAGAGCTCTTAATCGTCAAGTTAATCTTTAGTCAGTGGAAAACGTTTTGGGTTTTAATGTTGATGTGCTAGGCTATATGAAAGGCAAAGTCTAAAACAGAGCGGAAAACAGATCAAAACGGAGTAAGATAGAGACATGAGTCGTCAAATTCCGATATTTGTTGAACCGGGCTACGAAACGACCTTCAATGAATCGAGAAGAAGTTCAGATCCAATGGGTGGCGATACAAGACATGGTCGACATCTTCGTTTCGACGATACACCCAGAATCGAGGAAGAATTCGAAGATGCCACCAATCGATTTTTCGAGAAAAATTTACGAAGACGGCACAATGATTTTCCGGACCCCGCGTATTGCGAGAGAGATTTTCAATCTCACTCGCCTCCGAGGCATCAAGAAAGGCCGTTTAGAAGAGGCTTGAATCCTTCGGATTTTTTTTTTGAAAGTCCGTCCAGGAGACGAGGTCACTTTGATGAGATGATACAGAGAATGATGAGAGAAGACAGCGACAGTTTTGATTTTTCGGAACCAGAATTTGGAAATTTCCATGTGGAAAAGACAACAGGAAAACGCCACAGCCCCGAAGTTACGAGAAAAAATCATGGAAAGGTCACGAAAACTCCGTCAGCTCCTGTTTCTGGCGAAAGAAATAAAGGAAAATTTGGAAGGCAATCTTCCAATCCGAGCTCTGGTTCAGCTTATATTGTAGATGATGGAGAGTTTGTGGACATTCCAGTGGTGGTCAGCAAAGATGAAAAAGCAGAGAGAAAAGTGGGGAAGGATGAAAAAGAAAAACTGGAAAAAAATGAAGCTAAAGATGAATCTGTCACGCAAGAAAATGCCAGAGGAGAAGTCACTGAAAACGAGAAAGATGAGATAAAGAGGGAGAGTGAAAACGATTCTGAATTAGAGATAAAAAGTTATGTGGATACTACAGAGGAAAAGAATAACGATCACAAAGAAGGAAAGGCTAAAATTGATGACAATAATGAGAAAAAAGATGTTGAAAGCCAAGGAAATGTACAGAGCGAGAAATCGAAAAGTGAACAAGAAACTGAAGGAAATCAAATGCCACAAGAAAGCCAACAAAATGCTCAAATGCCAGAAAGCCAACAACATACTCAAATTCCTCTAGAAAGCCAACAAAATGCTGAAGTTCCTCTAGAAAGCCAACAAAATGCTGAAGTTCCTCTAGAAAGCCAACAAAATGCTCAATTATCAAAAATCAAAATAATCGAAGACGAGCTTAAGAATGTAGTGGAAAAAGTAAGAGTTTTCGAACCAAATGGATCCAAAGAAAATAATAAAGAATATCTCTGGCTTGAGGAAAAACTCATGAGAATTTTGATGGGATTAGACGCTATCGAAGCCAATGGCAGCAAGGAAATCCGAGGAGCAAGGAAAGCAGTCGTAAAGCGAGTACAAAAAACACTGAATGAACTCGAAACGAAATCTGTATCATGAGCGAAAAACTATTCATGAAAAACCAACAATGTAACAAATATTAGGCTCTTTATCAAGTTCTGTCACAAACGTTTGGCAAAAAACTTAATACCGGAAGTAAACTGGTGATGGTTTCAATGCCGGAAGTGAACTGGAGATGGTTTCGCGCCATAAATTAAACTRGGATCAAAGGTCACTTTTGGCCGGGACCGAAATCAGAGGGAGGARGGCGTGAGTGAAACACTCTTTCAAGTGTTAAATATGGCTTTTTAAACTATTAATAATCCTTGGAGAAATTTAATGCATAAGCTGCCCAATATCCTCACGAATTATGAATGCGTTTGAGAAGGGTTTTTCTCTCTGTTCTCCAGTTTACCTCCAAAAAAATCAATATCTAAATTCTAATTTAATCGGGTGTTGAAAGCTTACAACACGAGCCTCTAGATTGGGATACCTGACCAATCACTCTCTGCTCTTTGATAAAAATAAATTAGATAAAATGAACAGGATTATCTGTTGTGGATATAAATCAAGGATTATACTTATTCATTTGTCTCATGATTGTGGCAGTTAGGTGGGCTGCACTGTTTCAACTGCCACTGCTAATTTTCATCATGTGACGATGAAAATAACTTTATTTTTTAGATTTAGGTTTTGCTCAACATTGATCTTTAATGTAACTTTAAACCTTTTCTAGAATAAAACGAAAATGCTAATAGTCTTAATGGTAATTTGTGAAGCTTATATACATTAGGTGAGTGATGGCAATGTGTAATTCCAGAACGTATCCATACCCCTTCCCCACAACAGAGGAATTTGAAATTTCTGAGGGGGTGGGGGGAGGGGGGGCAGAAAAAAAGAAGATTACAGAGTTTGTATGGAAGGATATTGGAATTTCCAGGGGTAGAAGGGTCGGAGAAAGAACAAAATTACAGAGTTTGTATGGAAGAAAATTGGAATTTTTGGGGCAAAGGGGGTCTTTAAAAAATTTGTCCRTGGTAGGGTATGGATAATTTCTGGAGCTACACAATAGAGTTGTTGTTAGGTCTTTCTTGGTGTAGCAAGCTTTATTTTATGTCTCTGGATTAGACGTTTTGTTTTGCAGGTCATTGTTAAGCTCCAAATTCATTTTTCTTTGCTATTGGTTTAGTTATCTTTATGCTTCAGGTGCCTTGCGACACCCAAGAAAGAGTCAAGTTGTTTCATGACAGCTTCATTGTATGACAAAAAAGACACAAAACAATAGAAGTTTCCTTGGGGAAACGAAAATCATTGCATTGTTTGTTCCTTATGGCATGGCTGCCTCGTAAGAATTTTATCATTCATGACTAATAAGGTTTAATAAGATACAGCCATAATAATGGTTCTCATTGGCCACCAAGACAGTCTTATGGCTTGTTATTATTGCTTGGCATCTTCTTAATGATTATGAATAATATCAATAAATTGTAATAAATTGATAGATTTAATCTCAACAGACGTGTTATTGTTATATACATCAATGTAATATATGGCAATGATAGGCCTTGATATACTTTTCGCCATCAGTATAAATCCATATTGGCTACTTAAAATCACAGTAGATTTTGTATTGTGATTCTCATATTGTGAGGAAATTCTTAGCCGACAACTTCAGGTTCATAATTGGCAGCTCTCTCCCAGTCAAACTTATAGGAAAATCGCAATACTACCTGAAATCAAAATATTTATGACCTACTTATTGGGGAAAATCAGATGAAATACTCATCTATTTTTTTACGCGACTTGAAGTTGTGAAAGGCCCATTGGTACTCTTCTTCAGTCGTTTCATGCAAGGCTCGTAATTTACCTATTACGCTTATATGATTTCCGAGCCCATCCCACGCAGCTTACCGCCTCATCTATCATATATCATATAAAGTTATTTCAAAAAACAGTTGGTGAAAATTTTGTAGCATATTGCATACCAAGCTTGAAATGTGGATTATATGTAAATATCACAGATTAAAGAGAATATACCTGAAAAACGTCCAGACAAAGTTTTCGAAAATTCAACATTGCTGATTGCATTTACATCACGCATAGTGCATAAAAGGCTTGCTTTGCAATATGCAACATGCAACAATACTTTCACAAAACTTTTGTGAAATAGCTGTATTTGGACTCCAGCCCTAACTATGACACTAACTTGGTCTTTAAAGTAATTTACAGCCCAAAAATTAATCTTCCCCAGCTGGTAAAGCATCTTCTAGTTTTTTTATAAACTTGACTCTTATTTCAGTGGTATCATCCCCTCTGAGGGCATCTTGTACAAACCATACATCAACTTCCATCTGAACCTTGAAAAACAAAGTCATACAACAACGATGAGTTCATGGAGGACTCGAGTTTTAATCCCCCGCAAAATTTAGCTTGAAAAAAAACCTTTTGATGAGTGACAAAGTATGCCAGATGAGACTGCTTTTCAGAGAAAAACATTAAACACACTGTTGCATCCAGATGTTTTGAAGTGAGTGGTGGTGTAGAACAGAACAGAACATAACAGAAGTTTATTGCTCTTAAATATTAATTACATTTGGTAACAATATAGAGAAATTTAAATTCAATATAAATGTATAATAAATATCTATAATAAAGGGATAAGGAAAATTACACTAATTTCTATTCATATCATTTGTGCATATGACAATACAGACTGAGAATAGAGATTAGTTGAGATATTTGAGYCTGGAGGACAAATTAACAGTGACGTTTTCTAGTTGTCCCCCAGCCTTTTTATATTTACTTAAATTAAAGTTAGGAAGCAATGCAAAGTTAAATCATATTAGAAAAAAATATGCAGATGTAGCTGTAGGCRTAGCTGTGAGAGTGCTCGCCTCTCAACAATGTGAGTGCCCGAGTGCAATGTACTCTCTTCCCTGAAGGGCCTGGACCAAATTATCGAGATATGAAGGTTGCTGTGAAAAATGCTCAGTACTGCAAAAAAGTATTGGATAAATACCAAAACAGTGGAAAGAAAAATCGTTCAGAAAAGAATAAACTTTCTCTTTATCAAAATTTTAACACACGTTTTTATTGGTTCAAGCATAGCAACAACAAAAGTGCCACTCTCATTACTAACCATCAACATTAAATCAGCATTACTAACCATTTCTAGAGCTCCTTTTAATACTCCACATAAGATGTTAGAATACAGCAAGCCCTCAAGGCCATCTGGAACTTCCACAAAGTCTGCTAGTGGATTATTGTCCAGGATAAGAGAGAACTCATCTGCTGCGGCACTCCAGTTTGTAACTACTGGGGTCACTCCAAGGAACATCTTGAAACCATTCTGGCAAAGAACAAAGAAGTCATTACTATTATTGCTATTTTTATTAACATGAAAACTCGCTAGATGAAAGCTCCATGCTGAAATTTAGATTTTCGCTGCTGTTTTTTATATTTTTGACTGGCAGCAGTGATGAAAAAAAACAAATTTTAGCTTGCAGTTGCAGCTACAGAGTTTGCATGTTTGTGAAAATAGCAGTAAATAAAGATGTGATTATGATTATAAAGTTTACATTCTTACCTTTGCTATAACATCTGCAGTTTCCTTAAGATCATGACATCTACCCATATTGTTAGACCTTGCTAGAAAGTCCTCTATTAATCTTACTCCAATGTTATAACCCCTGAATTGAAAAAAAATTGGTTAAATGATCAATGGTGGGTAGGGTGATGATCAGTGGTGGGTAGGGTGATGATCAGTGGTG